GGAAAAGTGTGGTTAACGCGTGCCCAAGACTGCAAAAACTAAAGGAACTCTTTCAATATTGGAATACCAATGTGTTTATTTAATACAACCAGGTCCATGGTGGCAAGTGAGAATGCAGTATTTGCAGGCAAACTCTGCCCACAATCTGAAGTTCGATTCTGACGGGGGTTGGTAAAATGAGGACCCAGATTGTTGATGGAAATATGCTGACTCTGTAAACCACCTAGACAGGCTGTAAAGTACTAGGAAGCGGTATATAAGTGCTAAGTCTATCGCAGGCTAACTCTGCCCACTGACAGGAGTTCGATCCTGACCAGCTCAAGGTTGACTCAGCCTTTCATCCTTCCGAGGTCGGTAAAAATGAGGACCCAGATTGTTGGGACCAAGATGCTGACTCTGTAAACCGCTTAGAGAGAGCTGTAAAGCACTAGGAAGCGGTATATAAGTCCAAGTGCTATTGCTATTGAATGCAGATGCAAAGATGGCACTGGTAGCACATTTCTACTGCATGCCCAACCACGGTAAGCAATTCATACAACAGCTCTACGCGAGTGATTAAAACTCTGAAAAATTACGGTTGTACCTGAATGGCTTCTTTTAATGCTCGCATTGATGAGAAGTGGTCCCTGGATGTGCTCTCCATCAACTCAGCACATGATTTGACACCATCATAAAGAGAAGACAGCAGGTGGCATACTTATTTCTACCCACAGCTCTTCTCTTATTACGCAACCTTTTTAGCTTAACATCTCCAGCCTGGAACTAAATTGCTTCCTCTCGTTTAATTATTTCTGTTTCTGGCTGGGAGCTGCAATTTATTTGTATATTGGTATCAATGCACTTGGATGGGTACTCTATATGTAATTACTGTCAGGGCGTTTTCACAGCTCCTGTCAGGGCTCTTCTGTTGAATTGATTGGAAAGAAAGAAAAACTGAAATGAATTATTTGTGAGAAAAAGGAGAACAGCCAATCCACTCCTCCTTTGACTAATGGGGACTAAACGCACCCAAATGTTGGGTGCTGGTTTTTTTACGTAATCGAGGCGATTTGGCTGTTCAGTTCAGAGACTTGACTTGAAAGCAATTTGACTGAATCCTCAAATTAAGTCAGATTTCCAAATCAAAGCAGCAAATTATTGGAACTATTGAATCAAATTGGGAATAACCTTCCCAATAATTATAGTTCCTTCCCTACCTTTTGAGGCCAAAGCACAGCTATTCAGAAAACTGCAGGTTATCCTCAGACAGCAAAATGTTGTGTTGAGTTGTGGCCTGGCTTTGCAAAAGAACACTCCCGCTAGCCTGCAAACACCTTGACAGACACACAATGCAGTTACTATTAAGGAAAACTCCACTGGCTTCAGTGGAGCTTATTCCCAGGTAATTATGTGTGGCGTCGCAATCTGATTAAACCGCATTTTGCACAGAAGCTCCTCCACTGAGCCCCAACCTACTTTCAGCTACTAGGAGTATAAATAGATAATAACTGATCAAGGGGATAGCCTTATTGGATGAGTTTCTGTAATGAGGGCTGAGAAACGCTCCTGCGTTGTTGTTGTTTTTCCCCCACAACCGATTCTCCCTCAGTTTGGCGAAGTCGTTCATTTTCAAGATGTCTTTTAATTCTGTCGTTTATTTTCAAGATGTCTTTTATTCTGTCATTTATTTTCAAGATGTCTTTTACTATGTCATTTATTTGCAAAATGTCTTTTACCCTTTCGGAGGAATGCCCATGGTGTTGGGAACAGGGTGGTGTGCGTGGTTAGGGTGCTGGGATGAAGATTAGCCAGACCGTGTTTGAGACCTGAGTGCAGGCTTGGGAGGAGAGGGAGCTCCTGTCTTTTGCTCCAGCTGTTGCTGAAGACATAAAAGGAACCCCCAACTGGGCATGCCCCAGGCAACAGTGACGTCACCGGCTAATTCTTTCAACCCGGAAGCGCCTTGGTGCTTCTGTTGTTGTTGTTAGTTGCAAAGTCGTGTCCAACCCATCGCGATCCCATGGACAAGCCTTCCTGTCCTCTACCATCTTCTGGAGTCCATTTAAGCTCACGCCTACTGCTTCAGTGACTCCATCCAGCCACCTCATTCTCTGTCATCCCCTTCTTCTATTGCCCTCCATCTTTCCCAGCTTTAGGCTCTTCTCCAGTGAGTCCTTCCTTCTCATTAGGTGGCCAAAGTACTTGAGTTTCCACTTCAGGATCTGGCCTTCTAAAGAGCAGTCGGGGTTGATCTCCTCTAGGACTGACCGGTTTGATCGCCTTGCAGTCAAGGGGACTCGCAGGAGTCTTCTCCAGCACCATAGTTCAAAGACCTCCATTCTTTGGCACTCAGCCTTTCTTATGGTCCAGCTTTCACAGCCATACATTGCAACTGGGAAAACCATGGCCTTAACTATACGCACTTTTGTTGGCAGGGTGATGTCTCTGCTTTTTAGTATGCTGTCTAGATTTTTTTTTCTCAGAATGTCTCTGAGCATCCCATCTTTTACTGCACAAACGTCTCCCTGTTGATCTGCCCCCTTCTCAACTTCTCCTGCTCCCATAAGGCCCCAGGGGAAGGTGTCACCAAAGAACACAGGGCTGGAGAAATTACCGAGAGTGCTGAACTCACAATAGTCCACTTAGTGACCTTTTGAAGTTACAATGGCACTGAAAAAAAGTGAGTTATGACCGTTTTTCACAGGATAGAATAGAATAGAATAGAACAGATTGTAGAATAGAATAGAATAGAATAGAATAGAATAGAATAGAATAGAATAGAACAGATTGTAGAATAGAATAGAATTCTTTATTAGTCAAGTGTGACTGAACACACAAGTAATTTGTCTCCGGTGCAGAAGTTCTCAGTATACATACAAACAACAAAGTAATGTAATCATAAGATACCATTAGGAAAAAATAATATTTTAAGACATTTAGGGCATGGGAGGTGTTGTTTTTTTTTCTTAAAATGTGAGGTGATCCCTTCTCCAGATGGTTTTCAGAGCCAGAAATAAATTCTTCTCCACGGAGAAAGGTTGTAACTATATCATACCTAGACAGGGATGGGCGAGGGGAGGGGAGAGAAAGTGTCATTCCGGCTCCTTTCTTAATGCATTCTACCCCGCCATCTGCTGGTCCTAGGACGTATTTACTCAACTCTTTCTGCAAGGAGGGAGAACTGCAACTACCGTAGTTTGTAAAACTCAGTTATGTGGCCTGTGTGTCCCAGTAAGAACTGGCCAATTGTACCCTGCCACTTATTCCATAATATTCCACCAACTTTGCAGAGTTTAATCTCCAAGTCAGCATCTTCATGATATAACCACACAATCCATTACTCACAAACTAGCTTATCACATTTCAGCCCAGGAAGAAGATAACGTAAGCAGGGCCGTTGCTGGATCAGACCACTAGACCACTCTCGCCCATTCATTGACAGTTCAGTGTGTCAAATGAATCTAGAAACAAGGGTTAATTTCATAAACCACATTTCAGTTTGAGTTAGGATGGTTACTCAACGTGTGTTCATTGCAGAGGGACAAAAAGATGTTGAGACTCTAGAAAGAGGACAGAGAAGAGCAACAAAGATAATCAGGGCCTGGAGGCTAAAGCATATAAAGAATGATTGCTGGAATTGGGTATGTCTAGTTTCATGAAGAGAAGGACAAGGGGGGATATGATAGCAGTATTCCAATATCTCAGAGGCTGCCACAAAGAAGAGGGAGTCAAGCTATTTTCCAAAGCGCCTGAAGACAGGACAAGGAGCAACGGGTGGAAGCTAACCAAAGAGAGAAGCAACCTG